ACATCGGAAGAGGGAGAAAACAAGGAACAGGACAGGAGCCTACCGCAGAGGGCCTCTTCTGGTTTTTTGAGACAGGATTTCACTGTATAGTCCTGGCCATTTTGGAACTCATTCTCTAGACCAGGCTGCCGTCAAACTCAAAATCTACCTATCTCAGCTTCCTGAGTACTGGGATTAAAGGCATGTGCTACCACCACCTGGTCTATTTTTTTCTTTTCTTTTCTTTTTCCTATGTGGCTTAAAAAAAAAAAAAAAACTTCTTTACTGATTCTTTGTGAATTTCACATCATGCCCCCCCAGGACCTGTCATCTCCCTGTTCCCTCATGTCTGCCCTCTGCCCTTACAACCTCCCCCACAAAATAAAACACACAAACAAACAGGCAAAAATAAACAAAACAAATCATAGAAGACATTGGTAGTGGAAGCTGTAGTGTGTTCCAGTGTGTCGCACAGTATAACCCTCTGTCCTCACATCTTCACTTGCAAATGTTCGTTGTAATGAGTCATTGGTCTTTTGTGACACCATCAATATTGGATCCTTCCCCAGGGCCCCTCCCAGTTCTCCTGCTGTTGGTTTGTGTCATGGAGATCCTGCAGCTTTGGATCAACAGGACCAGCCCTTTCACGTGCCCTAACAGTTTACAGATAATGTAGATTTGGGGGGGTGAGTGAACTTGAAGCCCTGGACCTGAGCCTGGGTGGTAGCAGAGCTGGTCAGACCATCGGCTCGTCTTTATCCAGGGTGAGTTCTCTAGCACTGCTCTGGCTAGAGCACCCAATTCCCTCATGTCCTCAGGACCAGCCCACTGGCACCCATGCCTTGAATGTGAGCTCCACTGTGTTGCCCAGTTGAAGTGCAGAGCTCATTCTCCTGAGTGCTGGGCCGGCTCTCCCACTCTCACATCCTCTGGGCTGGATCACCCGTGTCTTTGCCAACAGGAGCTGCTCTACTGCCAGTGAGGGGCAGGGACAACTCTCCTGCTCAACTATCCAGGTGGTGAGGGGCAAGGGGTGGGGGGAGAGGAGAGCATCATTCCCTTGCCCACTCCAACTCACAGCAGACAAGTGGTAGACATTTCTCCTCCCAGGAATTGGACCCTGCAATTCTCTCCTTCCTTCCTTCCTTCCTTCCTTCCTTCCTTCCTTCCTTCCTTCCTTCCTTCCTTCCTTCCTTCCCTTCTTTGTTAAACAACTTCCTAGCTCTAAATTCAGGGCATTAACAACCAAAACCTATAATAAAATGGCTGTCACAATTATTTTTTGTTTGTTTTGTTTTCGTTTTTGTTTTTTGAGACAGGATTTCACCGTGTAGTTCTTCTGGCTGTCCTTGGTCTCGCTTTGTAGACCAGCCTACGAACTCACAGAGATCTGCCTGCTTCTGCCTCCTGAGTGCTGGGATTACATGCGTGCGTCATCACCACCTAGCCAAGCATCTATTTTGTATTATAATATATTCGCTCATTTAATCTAACCTTGGCCACACAAAGTCAATTCTATTCTTCCGACATCACACGTCATGTAAACAGCACAGGTGGCCCATGGTAGCTGGTAAAACTCTGCTCTGAGCCCTTTGAGCCCAGTAAACAGACACAGGGCAACAGCAACGAACACACAGTCAGAAAGGAGCCAGGTGTACCTGGAGGACTTCACACAGGAGGCGCTGCTGGGCCTTGAAGCAGGTGTAGGAGGTCTGCAAAGAAGCTCTGTGGGTAGAAAAAAAAAATGGGGGAGGGGAGGGACAAGGCTAAGGTCTTAGGAATTTGAAAGGACAGGTCACTGGGGTGTTTCTGGGCTGCACCAACTAGGAGATGGAAACACTGGCTTTTTGTTACTGCCTGCAAATGTCTTTCATGTGACCCCGGGAGTCCTGGCATCCCGTAGTCACTCTTGAATTTCCCAGTGTGACTTTGGACAGTGTAAGTATGAGAGTCTCTCAAATATTTGGCAACTAACTGCCTTCCACTCTCTTCCTGTGTTCCTTCTGGGCCGCCTTGTGCCGCTAAGGGCAGCGGGAAGCTCAGAGCTGAGCCCCCCAGGAAGCTGGCTGCAGGACAGCCCTTCGCTTGCTTGTGCACATTTCCCGACAGGCTGTGTGACAGTGCCCTGTCAAGTGTGGGGACCCTTGCACATCTGCCAACTAACTGCGGGCTAGCCTCTTCCTGGTGTTGCTCCCTAGCTGGGTTGAAGCAAGGCCTGCCAGGAGAGGCAGAATTCCAGCATGGAACAGCCAGGCCTTCAGTTTCCAGAGAACAGCAAGAGGGAGACTCACTGTCCCAGTTCTCACAGGAGCTGCTTGGCTCCCTTTCATTCTCATCACCTATGGCTCTTCAGGGGACTTCGTGTGCCTCAGAAGCCAACCCCTTCCCCACGCCCTAGGTACCCAAGACCTGCTCCCCTCACCTCCCTAGAAGCTTCGAAGCAGGGGGGAGACAGCTGTCTCCAAACACTCATGGGTTACAATTCCTGCCCTGGGTTCCTACTCTGCTTCTCCCCTAAGCACTAAGAACTAGATCTAAGCTGAGCCAGCACTGCAATAGCGATGACGATGATGATGATGACGATGATGGTGATAACAGTAATGATGACGATAATGGTGATGGTGATGATGGTGATCATGGTGGTAGTGATGATGGGTATCTGTCCTGGTTAGTTTTATTTATTTGTTTGTTTGTTTGTTTGTTTAATCAACCAGATACTAGAATTATCTGGGAAGAGAAACTTCAGGTGAGAAAATGCTTCCATCAGATTGCCCGTAGGCAAGTTCATCCAGAGTTTTCTGGATTAGTGATTGAGAGTGGGAGAGCCCAGCCCACTGGGTGGAGTTTTAGTGGTCCTGGGTGGTATAAGACACCCATGGAGAACAAGCTGTAAGCAACTCGCCTCCGTGGCCTCTGCTTCAGTTCCCGCCTTGAGTTCCTGCTCATCGCTTAGGCCACGTGCAGTCAGGATGGCAGACTAGAGCGTGAGGTGGTGATGAAGCAAGTGTGTACATTCTGGGCAGAATAAAAGTCCGGGCTAGGGAGGGCCCTGTGGTTAAGAGTGTATTAGAGCTCAGGGAGAGAACCCGATTCAGTTCCCAGCACCCACCTCAGACATCTTACAACTGTCTGGGATTCCAACGCAGGGGATCTGATGTCCTCTTCCGGCCCCTGAAATGACTTGCACTCGTGTGTACAAGAACATGCTCACACACGCGTGCGCGCGCGCGCGCGCGCACACACACACACACACGCATGCACACATGCACAGATACACATGAATATACATACTTAAAAAAAATTCTTAGAAGACACAGACCAGAAATCCGTGGGAATAAAATAACCAGGACATATGATAAATGTCAAGATTTCATAAACCTGGATATCTGTCCTGTGTGTGTCTCTGTGTCGTTCTACATTTTATTTTCTTTTTAAATATTTGTTTGTTTGTTTATGTGCACGGGTGTTCTGCCTGAGTGTATGTCTGAATGTGAAAGTGCCCAAGATTGTTTTCTGAAAATGGATTGTGTGACAGGTCATGGATCCCGTAGGCCTGAGGGTGCAGAAGAAAGGTTCTGCGTGAGGCACAAAGGACGAAAGCCCAGGGACAGGTCTTCCTGGAAGCTCTCCCTCACCTCCTCCTCCTGAGAGGCAGTGGTCAGCCCTCCCCAGCCTCGGCAGGGATCCCTGAGAAACATCTGTCAGGTCCTGCGTGCAGAGCTCTGTGTACCTTCCAGTGCAGGCAGGGAGACTCCAGCTGGGGCAGACAGCGGGAAGACAGGCTTAGAAACAGGTGATGCCCGGGGGGGGGGGGGGGGGGGCGGCGGGGGGGGGTTTGGGGGTTTGTAAAAAAGGCGGGGGGGGGGGGGGGGGGGGGAGACAAACCTTGCGCTTCCAAAGCCCAACCCCCTCTGGTCCCCATGGAGACTAGGGCAGCCTGACAGGGTCACGCCCACCCGGGCCAGAGGCGGCTGCAGCCCCAGGGCGCGGATGGCAGAACTACGCTGTCCTGCTGGCCGCTCCAGCCAGGCGCCACTGGCTTCTCCCTGGTGTCAGAAGCATCTTGGCTCTGAGAGTAGCCTGCTGTCCCTACGGAAGCCTCAAGTCTTCAGCCGTCAGAGGGAGGGGTGAAACGTGTGAAAACAGATACCTGGTTAAGAAAACTGTGGGCCGAGGAAACGATGGAATATTGAATGCTGGGCGAGAACGTTCGCTGCTCATTATTCAGAAAAACGGAGCTTTACAGGGCTAGCCAGTGTGATCCCATTTCTGATAGGAAAACAAACAGGCGGGACCAACTATGTGTGCTTGCCAGGACAAAAAACAAAAACAAAAACAAAAAACAGGACAGGAGAAAATTAAAATATGCTTGGTCTTGTTTCTTGGAGAAGAGTCCATGTAACTTATTACCGTGTTTATTTCTGAAGTTCTGGTTAATGCTGCCATCTGGATTCTCTTTCCCGCAAGGCACACTATGTCCTGCTTTCCCTGCTGTAAGGCCATTCCGAGCCCACGTTAAACTAGGGGCAAAGGTGATTGTCTCTATAGATGAAGAAACCGAGGCTCAGAGAAGTGCAGAGAGGCTGAGACCAGCCTTAGAGAGAAGCCAGCAGAGACACCAAAGACGAGACTACGAAATTAGAGCATTAAAAAAATCCCCCAGGGGCTTCCCGGGGGCGGAGGGACACTGCCGAAGCTCCTGTTTTCCTAAACGTCTTCCTAAGGAAAACACCAAGGGAAGAGAAAATAGAAGCAGCGAGTCTGGATGTGGTCATCACCCAGCTTCGAAGAAAGCCTTTAATGAGGTGGGGAGGAGGACTCAGGAAAAGGATGGAATGCTGAGGAGCCACAGGTCTCAACAGGCTTGCGCGTGCATGCATGCGAGTGCGCGCGCACGTGCATGGCACATGCGCACATGCCCATGTTCCCACAGACCTCTAGGCTCCACTGGGGCAGCCCCTGGACTGGTCCCCAACGTTGATGGGGAACCGCAGCTGCCCTCCCCCTCCCACCCCCACAGGTGCCTTCCTCCTTCCTTTTTCTAATACTGCCCTTCCCTTCCCCAGACAGCTTCTTTTTAGGTCTCAGGTTCCCCTCCGAGGCCTCGAGGTTTGGGCTGCCCCGGAGGACATGGCCTGGGGCCCTGACAACGTGCGGAAATGGTCAACCCCGGCGCTGCTGGCCATCATGGGCACAGTGCTGACAGCGGCCACCAGCCCTGGCTTCGTGGCCATGATCACCCAGAAGGGCCTGGACTTCGGTAATTGGATGCCTTTCTCCCCTTTCCCCCTTTCCCCGAGGGACACTCAGGATGCACAGCCCTTTAAATCGGGTGCCTGGTAAGCTCATAGCTCTTCTAGGAGACTTCCTTCCTCCCGTTTTATATAGAAAGAAACTGTGGCACACTCTCATAGGGCTGGGGAGTGTCAGAGCTGGGACTAGAGCACTGGTCTAGAAGATTTCAAGGGCCCCCGGACCATCAGGGTCCTCATGGTCCCCTCTCTACACCTTCCCCATTACAAATTTCTGGGCCCTTTTATTCCAGAGGCTGCCGTCTCTGCCTTGCCTCCTTTGCTGCCTACCCCAGGTTACTTCCCATGCCGGGGGAGGGGGAGGGGAGGGCGGGGGCGCGGTAACAACTTTGCTCACCTGCTTCGCTGCCAGGTGCCTCACAGACCCTGCGGGTCCCGATTCTTCCACTGCAGGGCTGGGTGAGACACACCAGTTCGCTCGGGCAGGTGAGCAAAGGCTCTCAAAGGGTTTGGGAAGTGCGCGCCTCCGTTTGAGCTCAGGTACTCGCTGAGGCCCTCTTCGGGGCCCGCTTGGTGCTGCCTCCTGGTGGCAGAGGGAGGAACTGCAAGACTCAAGGTGATTCAGGCTCAAACCAGACCAGGGGAGGCAGGTCCTCAAAACCAGTATGCACAGACCCCAGGGGGCCTGTTTTTCCATCCTTGGGACTCATGTTCCCGGCCTGGGGCTTGAGCGTGGGGAGTAAGAGACCTATATCCCCATCTTGCCTCCACCACGTGTCAGCTGTGACCTCTCTTCCATTCCCCTGAGATGGAAGAGAGAGGAAAGACCCCCTCTCTAGGATTGCTCAGCTTTGCAGTGAGCAACGCCAGGTGGGCAGGGAGACCCCGTGCATTTTGGTTGTTACTATTGCTGGTTATGACTACCTCTGGGCTGGTTCCTGAGAAACTGGAAGCCTGCTCCGCTCACCTCTCTGCCTGCCTCGTCATCCCCCCTCGGGGGACATGTTTGCCTGGTTAATTGCATCCTTGGTGCTGTTAGCCACACAATCACTGGTGGCAGAATTTCTGCCTCTGGGGCATTCATTTATTTACCCAACAAATAGGAAGTGTCAGGCACCACGGTAAATACCAGAGACACGCCAATACATAAAGCTGACATTGCAGCGGACCCTGGGGACTTCCGTCCAGCATCAATCAGCGTTGTGTGAACAGATGTCTAATTACAAAGAGAAATGGGTGCTCCAGATGAGCCGCTCAGGACTGTGAAGACGGTTCCAGCTGTGTCAGGGAAGCTTCCTGAAGGAAGGGGCGACGGGGAACAGTAGACGTTCAACAGACGACCACGGATGAATAGCAGGAGTTGAGTGTGCAAAGGTTCTGAAGAGAGAGTCTGGAAGGTGTCAGTGGGAGTACAGCCCAGAGAGAGAGGCTTGACCAGCTGTGTGGGGGTGATATTTCTGAACACTGTCCACAACCTGCAGCCCACAGGCTCAGGGTGGCTTGCCGTATATTGCTGAATGACCTATGAGCTAGGAAGCTTTTTGTTTGGGGGGGGGGGGTGTGCGTGTGTACATGAACATGATGGTGAACACGCGTGAAGTACCTCTGAGAGGCAGGGGAAACCTCAGGGGTTGCCCCTCAGGCACCATGCATTGTGTCTGTCTGTGTGTGTACCCCCCCCCCCACACACGTGGACGTGCTTGCGTGTGGGTGAGAGTGCTCGCATGTCATGAGGAGGCCAGAAGTTGACATTGGGTGTCTTCCTGGATCACCCCATCTTACATTTGGAGGCAGATCTTTAATCCAGAGCTCACCGATACAGCTGCTCTAGCCAGCCAGCTTGCTCTGGGACCCCTGTCCCACCTCCTGAGCACTGGGATTACAGACAAGGCAACCCCCCATTCAGCCCTTATGTGGGTCCTGGGGATCTGAGCTCTGGTTCTTATCTTTGTTTTGGTTTGGTTTGGTTTTTGGGACAGCTGTAGACCAGGCTGGCCTCAAACTCATGGATGGGCCTTATCTTCTTGTCACTTTAACGCCTGAGCCATCTTCCTCAGGCAATTGCTTTGTTTTTTTTTTTTTTTTAGAGACAGGATCTTGCTGTGTGGCCTTGAACTCAAGCTTTCCTACCTCAGGGTTTCCAGTGCTGGGATTACAGGCATACACATGCACAGCCCTTAAGGATGGGCTTAGTGGTTCAAATGGTTGACGAATAAAAAGAAGAATGGCCGACTGCACTCGAATGACCCCTCCAGTGTCCGCAGAGTGGTGCTGGGACATGGCCCTCTTTCTGTCTTTGCCTCAGAGTGGTACCCAGTATGGAGGGAGCGAGGTTCCGGGCCGTCTGAGGATAGGCCCCTGCAGTCCTGCCTGTCCCACTATAATCGGGCCCAAGGCTCTGGAGCTGCCAGGGGCCTCCATCCCTGCTTGTTAGCTGACTGATGTCTGAGCTTGTCACTCTGTGCTTTGTCCTACAGCGTGCCAGCAGGGTGTGATCGTGTTGCAGAAGGAGCTACAAGGCATCAGTATTCCCGAATTCTCTGGAGAAGCCTTTAAGTTGAAGCACCTGGGGAAAGGCTACTATTACTTCTACAGGTGAGGCCTGCCGAGGCTTAGCCCTCCAGACGTGGCTCACTGCGACCCGGGGCCCCTAGCCATCCAAGTTCTCAGCTCATGGCGTTTAAGACTGCAAACCCAGCAGCCCAAGGAGTTAGCACGCCTCAAGATGAGCCCAGAGGAAGCCACCCAAGTTTGTCTTTCTAGCACCTTCCACCACTTCCACAAGAGGCATCATGAACCCCAAACCCCTGGGCTACACACGTGTATTTCAGAGACAGAAGAACGGCCTGTGCCCCAACTTATCGCTCACAGGCTTCAGGGCCTGTCTGAGCCTGGTTCACGTGTCCCTGGACACGTCTCTCTCTGCACCTCCCAGCGTCAGGTCCTCTCAATCCTCCAGAGACGGGAGAGCCACCTAGTAACTCCAACAGCACACTCCCCTCAGCTCTCGGTGGAGAGAGAAGCTTGCAACACAAGCCCAAAGCTCCACTCTGACCCGGGTTAAACAGTGCACATGCCTTGAACCAGTCCCTGGGCCGGGGGAACAGAAAAACTAATTGGCTGAGGCCCCGCCTCCAGCTCCCCCCCACAGACACAGGTGAGTTCACCTTTCCTAGCATGGCATGGGTGAGAGCAACTCCCCAAAGCACGCCGACGGGTCCGCTGTCCCGAGAAATGGGGTGAGGCCGCTGGAAAGAAATCCCCCAGGAGTTTCCTACGGAATTGTATACCTGTTCCGTTCAGCAGACATCCGAAGCACCTAGTGTGCATCTCAGCAGCAGATTGCACACACTCCAACAGAGGGGACACATTCCACCCTACACAGGGCCCACAGTCAAGGCTTAGCGTCTGCCATCTTTGCTGATAGTCACCCACCCCACAAGATGGAAACTGTCTATCCATTGTAAACCCAGGGAGCCTAAGGCATCAAGTGATCGAGTGATCTGTCCAGGGTAGGCACGTGGGTAAAGGGCCACAATGAGCTCTCTTGGAACTCAAGGTACTGACTGGGGCTTTTTTCTCTGCAGCATGGTTGTGGATGTATTTCAAATCCCTGATCCCAAGATCAAGCTCTTGCCCAATGATGGCCTCCAGCTGTCCATTAAAAATGCCAGCATCAAGATCAATGGAAGATGGAAATCAAGGAAGAATTTCCTGTGAGTCTCATGCACAAGGGTTGCTGGATGGGCTGGTGGCCATTGGAGGCATCAGAGCCAGGGTGTTGGGAATGTCCACTTCTGCCTTATCTATAGACAGGTGTTGCCACAAAGTCTCTGGGCTGGGGGAGGGCGCTCTTAAAAGCACTCCACAAAACCCTGGATGAATAGCTGAGTTCATTTATACCCAAGTGCAGGACGTGGCAAGGCTGAGTTGTTCTGTGTGGCTCAGAAGGGAAACCTAAGCAGGACTTCCAGTTTCTTTCCTGTATTAGTCAGCTGCTGCTGCTGTGTAGCAAACACCACAGTGGCTTAAGACAGTAACCACCATGCTGCATTGTGTGTATCTGTGTATCAGCTAAGCCCAGCCGAGAGGTGTCGCTCCTTCCCTGGGGTCCTGTGTGCCACCCGGAGCACAGTGATGGATAGAAGAGGTGCAAAGGGCAGCACTGATCATGCACGCTCCTGTCCCCTGTCTTAATATGAATTCGTTTCATTCTTCTTACAGGGGCGGTGATTAAGTTCATTAATCGATTACTGGGTCAGAAATTGCTTAAAGTCACAACACCGAACACTCCGAATCTTAGTGACAAAATTGAGATGTTCACCCCCGTGTTCATCTGCTAGGACAAGATCTGGGTGGAAAAAAAAAATAACAGAAGCCCAGAGAGGTTAGCAAACATGCACAAAGCCACACAGCGAGGGCTCTGGGAGAGGCAGATTAACCAACCACCAGGTGGAAACAAGCTGGCATGTCAGGTTAGAACCCTGGCTTCTGGTGTCATGAGGTTTGTGTGCAGCCTCTGCTCTCTGAAGCCCCTGGTCCCTGGAGTGGGACCTGTGTTCCCCCACTGATGGGGAAGCACAAGGAGGAAAGGGTTCACTCCAGGTCTCTTCTCTCTATCTCCCTTTCAGCAAAGCCAATGGCAAGTTTAGCTTGAACGTCAAAGGTATCTCCATCTCCGCTGACCTGAAGCTGGACACTGACTCCTCAGGCCACATCACTGTCAACTTTTCCTCCTGCTATGGTCACATCGACAAAATCCGTATCCGAGTCTCAGGCGGCATGGTGGGGTAGGTCTCCTGGAGCTGCAATCCCAAGAGGAGACTGTCCCCCTAAGTCCCCTTCTGCAGAAGGTAGAGCTGTAGACTCGCCTCCACACACAGGCATTTTCCAGAGCTTTGGTGTGGGAGGGGCAGGGCCTCAGGCGGAGCAGACGCTGTCCCAAGGCACAGCTCAGTACGGCCAGGCATCCAGAATCTTACCCCACAGTCACCTATGGGACTGGCTCCGCACCCGGCCTGGAAAGCCTGCACAGAGCATGGCCGGCCCTGATGATATCTTACATGTACCTTCATCAACCAGAGCCTTGCTGTGCGGCCAACACGGCTCAGACTATTTGTGCTCTCACACCACCTGCCCAAGAACACAGGAAGCAGTTTTGTGACCAGCCATTGAGCGGTCACAGGCTCTCAGGCAGTCTGGCCCCGTTTTCCTAAGGCCCCTGGCCCAGTGGGGGAGAGAGATGTTAGTGATGTCATTATGCCAGTGAAGGGCTCACTGAGGACCGTAAGAACTTAGAGAAGGTACAGAGTGCCCTGGACATGTAGAACTGGAGGACCTGGCCCAGTCTGGGGGCAGGAGGAAATGACATTTGAACCGAGATGAAAAGAGTGAGTAGGCGGAAGTTGGCGATTGGGATGTTTTGGACAAGGGGGACCACATGTGCAAACTGTGGTGAGAGGAAGCAGAGATACCAGGGAACAAGGCAGGCCAATGTGCCTGGTTTAGGAAGAAGGAGGGCAGTGGGGGATGGGGCAGGTGTCGGTTGCCATTAAGAAAATAGTCCCGTAAGGTTGCTGCAAATGGGGAGAAGTGTCTGATGAAGGCTGCAGGGCCAAGGGCTAGTTGCCAGGGTTCCCAGACATACCTGAAAGTCTCTTCTATGCCCCCACATGTCAACCTTCAGGTGGCTGATCCAACCGTTCCACAGGAGAATGGAGAATTCCCTGAGAAACATCATTTACTCGAAGGTAGGAGGGCTGGGCATCAGCGGAGGCAGGGCAGTGGCCTCGGAGCTACACCTTGGCCTTGGCGGGCGCCTTGGCCTTCATCCCAACTCCCTCAGCATCCATAGGGCATTCAGAATCCAGAATTTCATCCCCAGAGCCCAGCTGTGTGCTCTACAGAGAGGCTCCGCAGACCGCTCAGGGGAGACGGCCTCCCACCCAGCAGGCCTTCCTGTAACTGTGTGCCAAGCAGCCTGTGTGCACCTGCCCCCCACAACCTCTTCACAGAGGAACAGCCAGCCCCCATCCGTCCCCTCCTTCCCTTGCCCTGCCTGGTGCTGCCATAGCGCACAAACCACCAGGAAGAGGCTGCATCAAGGAGGGATCCCTGTGGCGTGTGGAGCACGGTGGGTGCTGCTGAGGGTGCAGACGGCAAAGCGCCCCCCCCCCACGCTGAGGGCAGACATAGCTTAACACAATCCCGAGGACCCTCTGTGTGTCCTCTGCCCTGGGTCTCCTCCCTCTCTCCCTATTTTACTCAGCCTTAGTCTAGCAAGTAAGTGGACTTTATTCCTTAGTCCATTCAGACAGACAGACAGACAGACAGACAGACACACACACACACACACACACACACACACTGCATCTTTTAAAAAAGATTTGTTTATTATTTATACAGCATTTGGCCTGCATGTGTGCCTGCACACCAAAGAGGGCATCAGATCTCATTCTAGATGATTATGAGCCACCATGTGGTTGCTGGGAATGGAACTCAGGACCTTTGGAAGAACAGCCAGTGCTCTGAGCCATTTCTTCAGCCCCCACACTGCATCTTTTAATTAGAGGGCTAAGACCATTTACGTTTATGGTCACTGTGAGTGTGAGTAAACACACTGGGTATGTGTGTTTGCAAATCTCTTTATCACTTTTCTGCTGCATACACCAAGCAAGGTGACCCTCATGCTTCTGTGTGTGTGTGTGTGTGTGTGTGTGTGTGTGTGTGTGTGTGTGTGT